TGTACAATTAATGTCTTTTGTACAATTAAAGGTGGTATTAAAAGAATGCACAGTCATTTTAATATGCATTAAGATAACAGTAAAGGTGGTATAATTTACATTTTCATCTAAAGGATGATTCTAATAAAGAATGTGTGATGTTTACTTATCAGCTTTGTAAAATGCAAACAATAACATACTAGAATAAGGCTATTTATCAGCAGTAAGCCACAGCAAAAACTCCTTATAGTCCAGTTACTTCAAAAGTTACTTTTGAGTTACTTCAAAATCCAATTTTCATTTAAAAGAATAATAAAGTCGTTTTAATTCTCATGTTAATATAGAAAACTTCTCCTGAATCTGAATCCATGTGGGGCTCTTCTGCACTCCATAAGACACGTCAGCAGGCAAGGACAGAGAAGCACAGGAACAACATGATTTGATCTTATGACCGGTTAGAACAGCTTAGTTAAATGTTGTTGCAATGTTTTCCACATGGGTTAATACAGGAATTCATGTATCCTAATCCTCAAATTATGAATAGTTAGCCTCCTTCTAATATCTGACCAGCCAACAGCCACCAATTCCTATTCAACGACTTTAATACTGCTTGGCACATGCCTTACATCAGCTCAAACTAACATGGCCCTAGACATGTACTCCAAGCCATTTTGCTGTTCCAGGTGGAAAAAAACCTGCTTTATCACAGTGGGTTTATACAATCTATAATTGCAATGATAAAATACATCTTCTAGAAAACAAAGATGACCGAGAAATAGTCATTCCTCATGGAACTACATACATCACCACAGAAAAGTTAACAACTGTTATGTTGCACACACAAAAATGAGCATTTTTACATTTTGGTGTAATCATGTGTCCCTTCCATGACAGGAAAACCTGCACTTGCAGCAGTCTAACCTCACCTTGCAATACTGACCACCAGCATTTGCATGACATCTTTAAATGCACAACTCCAAATCTCTTGAAACAGACATCTTGCCTTTGAGGAGATGTAATATATTTTTTCCTTTTATGCTTGTTGAATCACTCTAAAGGAATGTCTAACTGGAAGAGCTATGAAACACAGTAAATGAAAATTAACTCAGTATTTTTTCCAAGATAATAGAGTATTAGGTTGATATGCTTGGTCTGACCATATTAGAATATGTAAAAAGTTCTTCATGGCTTTGAAGACCTTATACCAGATTGGCAGTTTTACATGTCTGATGAGATCAGGAAAGTGACTAGAAATTTCACCTTAAGTGTGGGTGGGGAAGCAAAATAATTCATAATTCTTTAAGCAAAATAACTCCATGACAGACTCACTTGCTGTGGAAGTTAATTGCCATAAAGAGCAATCAAGCAACAGATAGGCTATCTAACAAGGAGCTATGTTTTAAAGAAATGTTTTTGTCTGACAAACAGAAGTTATCTACACAATTGGAGATTTTGAGTTTACATGAGGTTGGCAAATGAGCAAGGCATCAGTGCTTGTAAAATGTTATCCGAAGCATGGAGGAAAGGGCAGGAGCAAAGGAGCTGGGACTTGGGAAAGGACATTGCTGCAAGG